AAAAATTTGACTTAAAAATATTCTACATTCACTAACAAATCATAATTATGAACAATTTTTAATCAATTTTACTTGTTTGTTTATTTGCTCAAAAGCAATTCGAGCATATGAATTGATAGCTTAAGGGCATTGCATTCATATTTGTGCCACATATTGTGCCTAGGCATTTGTGCATGGAGTTACTTTAATTAAGTCCATTGAATTGACCGCAGATAAATATGTATATGACAACAAATATTGAAATGACAAAGCGGGCAACTGTTTAATGCTTTGCCGGCTGCAGCTGCTGCCTCCATTTCGAGCAGATGATGAAGATATATGCGCATATTGAATGACCAATGACCAATGATCCGGCGATCCAAGTTACGGACTGCCACGCCACGCCAAGCCAAGCTAAGTCTGCGATACAGTTCATTTCATTTACGAGCTATTCGATGGCCAAGCACACTGATGACAAGACCAAATAACCAAAACAACATCAAACAAACAAAAAAAAAGAGCCAACCAAAACACAGTTCGAAACGAAATTCCTATGAAAACTTGTGCCCGTCCCTTGATTACATATCTGTCCCTCGGTGTCGTATGCTGTCCGTATGCAAACTGGAGTAAACTTTTATTAATTGAGCCGGGCAAATGTATGCATACAATACAATATATAGATATCTCTGTATGTGTACACATGCACATCAAGCAAAGAACAACGATGACGTCGCAATGCAGCCACAGCTACAGCCACAGCCACAGCAACCACAGGCAATCGCAAGCGCCGCCACCTCACCGAGAGCAACGTTCATTGATCCACAGCCAGAAGGCGTATGCGACATTTAATACACTATGAAATGCGTGTCACACAGCTAGAAATAGCTGCGATAAGACTTTCGGAACACTTTTAAACTATTTTCAGTAAAATATCGAATTGATATTTACAGCTAGTTTGAACTATTGTAATCTAGTCTAGTCCAAATATTGTAATCTAGTCAGACTAGTTATACATGACATAATATGAGCTCATTAGTACTAACGATCTATCTTAATTCATTCGAACCTAACCCAATTCAGTAGCACTGATGATCTATCCTAATTCAATCTAACCTAACCCAACTTAAGCTAACCTAAAATGTTGTAAACCAACTAAATTATTTTAAATAATATAAAATATA